GAAATAAATCACACAAAAGTTCGTCTGAGGCAGGTCTGGTTTGAGGTGCTATTTAATACGACAGATCCTGTTGGCAGGCCTCAGACTGATAAAGTCTTTCGGACGAAGGACAAAACCTTTATTTTTCAAAAAATGAAACTGTCCAGATGACCTGATTTAACTTTTTTGGTGTGTTATACAGGTCCTTCTCAAAAAATTAGCATATTGTGATAAAGGTCATTATTTTCCATAATGTATTGATAAAAATGAAACTTTCATATATTTCAGATTCATTGCACACCAACTGAAATATTTCAGGTCTTTAATTGTTTTAATACTGATGATTATGGCATACAGCTCATGAAAACCCAAAATGCCTGTCCCAAAAAATTAGCATATTTCATCCCACCAATGAAAAACAAGTGTTTTTAATACAAAAAACACCAACCTTCAAATAATCATGTTCAGTTATGCACTCAATACTTGGTCAGGAATCCTTTTGCATGAATGACTGCTTCAATGCGGCGTGGCATGGAGGCAATCAGCCTGTGGCACTGCTGAGGTGTTATGGAGGCCCAGGATGCTTCGATAGCGGCCTTAAGCTCATCCAGAGTGTTGGGTCTTGCGTCTCTCAACTTTCTCTTCACAATATCCCACAGGTTCTCTATGGGGTTCAGGTCAGGAGAGTTGGCAGGCCAATTGAGCACAGTAATTCCATGGTCAGTAAACCATTTACCAGTGGTTTTGGCACTGTGAGCAGGTGCCAGGTCGTGCTGAAAAATGAAATCTTCATCTCCATAAAGCTTTTCAGCAGATGGAAGCATGAAGTGCTCCAAAATCTCCTGACAGCTAGCTGCATTGACCCTGCCCTTTATAAAACACAGTGGACCAACACCAGCAGCTGACATGACACCCCACTGACTGTGGAAACTTGACACTGGACCTCAAGCAATGTGAATTCTGTGTCTCCTCTCTTCCTCCAGACTCTGGGACCTTGATTTCCAAAGGAAATGCAAATATTACTGTAATCAGAGAACATAACTTTGGACCACTCAGCAGCAGTCCCAGGCGAGATGCTTCTGACGCAGTCTCTTGTTCAAAAGTGGCTTGACCTGGGGAATGTAGCACCTGTAGCCCATTTCCTGCACATGCCTGTGCACGGTGGCTCTGGATGTTTCAACTCCAGACTCAGTCCACTGCTTCTGCAGGTCCCCCAAGGTCTGGAATCGGCCCTTCTCCACAATCCTCCTCAGGGTCCGGTCTCCTCTTCTCGTTGTGCAGCGTTTTCTGACACACTTTTCCCTTCCCACAGACTTCCCACTGAGGTGCCTTGATACAGCACTCTGGGAACAGACTATTCGTTCAGCAATTTCTTTCTGTGTCTTACCCTCTTGCTTGAGGGTGTCAATGATGGCCTTCTGGACAGCAGTCAGGTCGGCAGTCTTACCCATGATTGCGGTTTTGAGTAATGAACAAGGCTGGGAGTTTTTAAAAGCCTCAGGAATCTTTTGCAGGTGTTTAGAGTTACGTCGTTGATTCAGATGGTTAGGTTAATAGCTTGTTTAGAGAACCTTTTCATGATATGCTAATTTTTTTGGGACAGGCATTTTGGGTTTTCATGAGCTGTATGCCATAATCATCAGTATTAAAACAATTAAAGACCTGAAATATTTCAGTTGGTGTGCAATGAATCTGAAATATATGAAAGTTTCATTTTTATCATTACATTATGGAAAATAATGACCTTTATCACAATATGCTAATTTTTTTAGAAGGACCTGTATACCTGGACGAGTGAGCACACTTCCTATTAGAAACAACAAAGTCCATGCTCAATAATCCAGGTATACATCCAACAATCTGGACAGTTTCTTTGTTTGTGCTGAAACATTTCACCTTCCATCCAGAAGGCTTCATCAGTCAAGGAAACACAAAACTGATTCTTCCCCTGGTTTTGAATCAGTTTGACATGACTGTCGACAAGGAAGAGGACCAGCATCGGAGGAGGGGGCGTTCCAAAGACACCATCTTAGCACCAACATAACTGGTTTGTTCCACTTTGGAGTAAGCTGTTGGGGGAAGAATCAGTTTTGTTGTGTGTTTCCTTGACTGATGAAGTCTTCTGGATGGAAGGTGAAACATTTCAGCACAATAAAAAAGAAACTGTCCAGATGACCTGACTGAAAATTGTTGGGTTCCTATTATACGCTTGTAAAGAGGGTTCTATACGCTGCTAGATCCAGAGATGGACGTGGTTTTTATTCACCGTTTCTGTGTTTTGGTTTGTTTGTTGGTAAATAAATAATGATGCAGTGTTTTGTGCCTTGGATTGTTGTTCAGCTGAGGTTTAACTAATCTCATTATAAAACCCTGTATAAAACAGATTATATGTCATGAATCAGAACTTTTTGTCACTGAAAGAGGGTGCACTTCTTTTTACTGTGACTGTACATGCTGGCTTTGAGTTGCCCTCTGTCCTGTGTGGGATGTGGAAAGCTTTCATGCATTACGGGAGTGATTACTTAGAGTGACTTGGAAAACAATCCTCTTCTTCTGCGCATCTATACACAGAGGAGAGGAAAGGCTCATCAGTGACTTTAATGGCAGCAACACCTTGGTACAAAGACACAACATGCAGAATGGCTGCCCTTAAAACCAATCTGTGAGTGAAACATTTCTTGGAACAAAAACTTCCTCCTCCGACACAACAGGCTGCAACAACAGGAAAGAAGAAGAAACACGACAGCACTGACTTACATGCATAAACATAATCAAGTTTTTTGTAACTCCTTACTAAACATCTTTCTCCAGGATTAGAAACCAACCAAAATGATTTATTACCAATAAAGGATCAAAGGCGAGAACGCGGCAAAGCCTTCCCCGGATTCAGAAACCTTCCACTCACTCAAATGTAGAGAGCTCGATTACGACACCCTTCACAGCTGGCCTGTATTTGTGCCGTTGTGTACGGCCCCTGTTTAAAGGTGAATAACGTACAAAAAGCAACTTTTCACCTCAATTTTTTTACTTTGATTCTACATATTTAAAACATGTTTCTCCCCAAGTTTGTGGAAATACAGCTGTGTTGTTTTAAAGACATTTCAACTGTAATGCACGTCCATGTTTAATTTGCCCATAAACACATGTAGTGCAGAAGTGATTTAAAGTTGAAATTTATTTAAAACCCCACAACTTATTGTCCTCAAACTTGGTGAGAAACATCCTTTAGATGAGTAGCGTTGAACACAAGTAAAAAAGAAAAACATTATTTAATTTGCCCATAAACACAAGTAGTGGGGACCTGACGCTGTGTGTTAAAGTGCATTAAAGTTGAAACGTCTTTAAAACCCACAGATGAATTTACACAAACTTGGTGAGAGACATGTTTTAAATGTGTGGAATTAAAGGAAATCCAGGTGAAATGCTGCTTTTTGTACATTATTCGCCTTTAAACACAACGGCACAAATACAGCCCAGCTGTAAAAGTTGTAATCCAAAAAAAGTTAAAAACAAAATCAAAATAAGTTGATTTAGACTTTTTTGGATTCACCATGTCCTGGATGACAGAATCTACACCAGCATGTCGTTGTAATCAAGCACTCTGGATTTGAGCGAGAGTCAGGTTTCTGAATCCGGAGAAGGTTTTACTGCAGTACGCCCGAGCACTGTTATTGAGTCATGAAGAGAAAAACACAAAGATCACTTGCAGTGTTCCCCCCACCTTTGTCCAAGAAGGGCACCCCTCCTTGTCAACCGAACCCAACGCCTACCAAAACACCCCCATCCTGCTGCTGACAGTTCAGCTACTTCCAGATGGGGAGTGGCGATTATAGCCACAGCACATGTGGCTTCTAGCATTAGTACAGTAGCGCTCTGATACCAACATGAACATGAGCGTGTTGTGGTGGTGGTGGTGGTGGTGGGGGGGGGGGGTGATTCAGAGAGCAGCAACAGGTTCGATTGATTGGCACAAGCTGGGGCATGTTTCTAATCAGGCTCACTGTTTCAATTTGAGGAAGTGTGCTGAGACATGAGGTGGAGGAAGAAAACTAGAGCTCTCGTGCTGCTTCTTTCTCCTAAAAAAGGTACATCGAGAAACCACAATAAAAAACTAGAAAGTTTCTGGAGAAACTTTGATGAGGACTGCCATGTTGCAGCCATTTTAAATGTTTTGATTTGACAGTACTTTGTGTTGGGGTTCGCTCTCAGCTTCCACTACACCAAATTTCAGCTCAATATATTTTAAAATAGTCAAGTTATCGTATTTTTTTTCCCTTTTAGTGAAAGTGGCCATCTTGGATTTTTAATTTGCATTAGGAATGTATAACAACTCACTCTCAGCTACAGCCAAACCAAATTTCAGCTCAATATCTCACAGAGTGATTGAGTTATGGTCAACCTTGAGTTTTCTGAGGTAACTGTGGCAGCCATCTTGAACCAAAATGGCTCCAAAAATAAATCAGTGTTTTGTGCAGAGACGTCTTCACACTAAGTCATGTGACCTCACTGTGGCAGTTAGAAGCTGTTAATACCGTCAGGCATTTTGAATGGAAGTAATGGCGTATTTGTTTGCAAATTACGTCACCATGGTAACTCAAAATGTCAATTAAAGTGACAGCACACATCGCAGTGCCGAGCCGGTCATTTTCATACAACATTTGTGAGGGTACACATTGCAGTCGGGCTGCAATAAAGTTGATAGAAGAGCAAGACCCTTTTCAGGTGGATGATAGTAGGTCTGCCTTCAGGCAGTCTCCAATAAGCAAATGACGTGATCACGTTAACTGTTGTTTAGCTGTCCTGTTGGAATTAACCGTAATGGGACGTTACGACCGTGGGGACAATGAGGGACGAGGACCATGCAGTTACACAACATGTACTATAACAGACACCTTCACATTATATAAAAGAGAAAAATGACATATATCAGGTGTTAATACATCACAGTGAGACGTAGGATGTATGAAACAAATATATATAAAAAAACTAAATCAAGTTTAATCATGCCCACAGTAACTTACCACCTTTCTTTTTCCTTAGTGTGGCTTTGGAGGCGACAGGAAACAAAAACTCTAAGTCTTGGGAGAAGATAAACAAACAGAATTTACTTTGTCAGTGTCTCTTCCTGTAACAGCCCAGAGATTAATCCATTTGGGAAAAACAGAAATGCTTTTTCTACTCACGGTTTATAGTGGCACAAATTACACAATGAAAATGAAATGTGTCAAAGACCAAACTTTCCAAAAGAAACATGCTGATGTCATGTGATGTTTTTCTCTTTCATGAGATCAGATAAGGTAAGATGGAACTTTATTCATACTTTGCAGTTTAATTTTCTTCTTTGTCTAACAAGGTTGAGTCAGGTCCTCTGGACGGATTCTTCTTTGTTGAAACGTTTTGTCTTTTATCCCAAAGACTTCTTCAGTCTGAGGAGCTGCTACAAACTCAGTCCCTCTGCGCGTTCCTACTTCTGCAAATCGTGTTTTGAATTCAGCTGATTTGACATCAAAGTCCTTTTATTAAACAAAACTAAGACACACCTTTGCTAAAATTTTGAGCAAACAAATAATTGTTTTTAAGTGTTAATCTGGTAAAACTCTTGTTAAAGTCCTCCCGTGCACGTTCCCGCAGCTGCCATTTGGCAGCCAGAACAGATTTTTGGCACAACACCGGCCCACATTTCCGGGTCGTCAGCGGTGACGCGTAATAGATGCGACGTATTTATGGATTCTTCCACTTTATTAGACACACTTGGACTGATGCGACTTATAGGGCAGTGCGACATGAACGGCAGAAAATAAGTAGATAGAAAGGTGCTATCCAAGTACTCTCCATTTATCATTGTGGTGGCCATCTTGAAGTTTTACGTGTCAACCCAAATTTAGAAAGAAACATTTCTAGATGTAGCCACACACAAAAATGGAAGTCAGTTCCTCACCTGTAAGTCAAGCTGATTTGAAGCTCTCGACCTTTGACCTCTCTAAGTGGCTTTAAGAATCTGTTGGACTCCTGGCAGGGACCAATGCAGACATGTTCCTGGTTTTAGTTTCTACATTCACCTTAGAATCTAGCTGTTTTTTTGTTACTTTTTTAAGCCATCCTATTTGTAAAAAAAATAAAAATCTGTACGCCTTTTTATAACTGTCTGTTGTTGTTGTCCATTGTTGTCATCCTTCTTTGTTGAAATCAGGTCTCTCTTGTAAATGAGTCCTGGAGGCTCAATGGGACTAACTTGTCTAAATAAAGGTTGAATGAATGAAAAGTTATCGTGCTTACAACATGCACGGACACATGGACAGATGGATGAACTTGGGGTATGTCCAATTCCCCCTCTTTGCTCCGGGATGGGGACAACATAATATCAACTACTGAGGACAAAAAAGTAGTTTATAATTTTTATACACTTTTATAAATAAAGCACCCAAACTGCCATTGTAAACCAAAACAGTTGGAAAAATATCAAATGTACTTTATTCCTTCCTATGATTCCTTTGTCTCCTTTCCGTCACTCATTCCCCCACTTATCATCTAGAAACGTTCCTTTCATTTTGTCTTAGATTTGCTGACTTCTGCATGTGTTAGAAAGTATTATTATGACATGGCAGCATTGTTGCTAAGTGGTACCACACACTAAGGAAAAAAGAACAGAACAAAGCACAAGTAACATTAATGTCACCACCAACAGCAGCAATATGAACTCAAGAAGCCTTCATGCACGAAGGGAAAAAGCAGCTTAAAATGTTTTAATTAAATTACAGCAAAATCATGAGCACAAGCGTCACTCAGCTACTGAAGGACGTGGCAGTCAGGTAGAAAGGCTGTGCAGCATTAACTGCTTACCTTGATCCACTTTGAGATTAACCAATCAGGGAGGAGGAACAAAAACAAACGAGGAGGTGTGAGACTCTGACCCTCTGAGGATGCAAGAAAGCAAACCAACACAATCTTACCGAGTTCTTCCAGTTCCGAGGTCATAGACTTGGAACGCATCGACAAGGCTGTCGTGGGGGCTCTCTTTGGAGGTGGGGGGGCTGAGAAAAACAAAGTCAGAGGGAAACATGTCAAAAGCACACTATTATTTTTGTTATTGATTACAGAAAATGAAAACTCTCATTGCATCACTACAAAACATTTAAAAATACATCAAATTAAAAAAACATCTTTGCATCAAAAGCCTAAAATTATGTGAAGAGCACTTCACTCTCAGACTGCAGGTTTACTTGTGGTTCCTAGAGTTTCCAAAAACAGAATGGGAGGCAGATCTTTTAGTTATCAGGTGACGCTGACACATTGTCCAGTTTTAAAACTAGGCTTAAGACTCTTTTTTGCTAAATCCTATAGTTAGGGTCGGCTTGGGTTTCCTGAGTTGTCCCTTAGTTATGCTGCTATAGGCTTAGACTGCTGGAGGACAAACTGACCACACTTTTCACTCTGCTACTGTCTTTACTTACTCTGCTCAACCTGTTTTGTATTTGTAATTATTTTTTTCTATCCTAACGTGTTTTTGTCTTTCAGGTACACCTGGACCTATACCTGGACCTGGACCTATACCTGGACCTGGACCTATACCTATACCTGGACCTGGACCTATACCTGGACCTGGACCTATACCTGGACCTGGACCTATACCTGGACCTGGACCTATACCTGGACCTGGACCTGGACCTATACCTGGACCTGGACCTGGACCTATACCTGGACCTGGACCTATACCTGGACCTGGACCTATACCTGGACCTGGACCTACCATTCTGTGTTCGTCTGTCTCTCCTTCCTGTCCTCTCAACCAGCCGGTCAAAGCAGATGGCCGCTTGTCCTGAGCTGGTTCTGCTGGAGGTTTCTTCCTGTTAAAGGGAGTTTTTCTTTCCACTGTCTCATTTGTTCTTGCTCAGGATGAGAGACTGTGACCAAGTGAAGATTCAACTTGTCGGCTGCTTCCTTCCTTGCATAGAGAACTTTACTAATTGGCTTTTCTATGTATGTGAATGTTTTTGTTCAGTGCCCTGAGACAACTTTGTTGTGACAAGGCACTTTATAAATAAACTGAATTGAATTTAATTAAGATAAAATTCCTTGAAAGGATTCACATCAGCTATTGTTTTTTTAATGGTAGTTTTAGACAAAGATCATGTGTTGAAAAATGATGAGTTGAAGCCATTTTGATTAAAGCTTAAAAATAACACGTGCTGTCTCACAATAATCTGAGATCATATGAGATGTGTTTGCACTCAAAAAAGTATTGGAAATGACTGAACTAATCCCACTTATACAGTAACTTTGGCACAATATCTGTAGCTTATAACCATTGTTGTGTTAGCTAAGGAAAATTACATTTGGTGGAACATCTTGAACTGGGTTACCTCCAAATGTTAACGAGTTGTACCTAATGATTACTTACTTACAAATGATTGTTCTGAAAGTTACATCCAAACATGCCCAATGGTTCATCATACATTTTGCAAACAGGGCTGCTGTCACCAGTTTATGTCAAACATGTTAAATTTAGCAAAAAATAAAGAAAAATAAATGGTTGAGTTTCCTAATGTTAGTAGGCTGTAGCAGCCATATGGAACTGGGTCCCAAAATCAAGAAGTATTTTAGTAATGGTACAGCCAAACAGACACAAACAGACAATGGTAAAAACATCATTGCACTTTCACCTTCAGTATCAGGTAATTGGAAAAGTGTTTAATTTTGAATCATTGACCTTAACCAAATAATTGTGAGACTGTAAAATTACAAAATAATAGCCTGTTATTTTATTATGTCTATTCTGAGAAAGACTGCTTTCTTGGTTGGTTTTATTACATAGCACTGTCTGTCAGTATGACGCTTTACTAAAGTCACTGATATTATAACAGCAGTCAAATTATTGCCAGACTCACCAAGAGAAGGATTCTCTGTTGTTTCACTCTTGATCATTATCATGACCTTATTTTCCAATCTGTGTCTGAACATCTCTGTCTGTCTGTCAAGATATTTACAGGTTTATTTGATCTGGATCAATTAAATTCAACCAATTTACTTATAATTCAAAGGTTCTTTTTTTTTTTTGGGGGGGGGGGGGGGTGCAGAGGCCACAGAGCACAAACTTGTGATCAGAAGGCAGCCAATTCAAAAATATATCATAGTCCTCGGTGATTCCTGCCTGACCTCATCTGTTAGTTGGTCCATCAGCAGAGCAAACAAAAAGGGGCTCAGAGCTGATCCTTGATGCACTCCCTCTTTCACCTTGAAGCTTTCTGTCACTCCTACAGCACATCTCACCACTGTCCTGTTGTCCTCATACATGCCCTGCTGTCCTCATACATGTCCTGCTGTCCTCATACATGCCCTGCTGTCCTCATACATGTCCTGCTGTCCTCATACATGTCCTGCTGTCCTCATACATGTCCTGCTGTCCTCATACATGTCCTGCTGTCCTCATACATGTCCTGTACCAGTCTAACATACTTCTCTGCCACTCCAGATTTCCTCATGAAACACCACACCTCCTCCCTCTGCACTCTGTCAGATGCTTTTTCTAAATCCACAAAGACACAATGGAGTTTTCTGATGCATGCTCAATAATCCAGGTAGAAAAATCTAAAAAAGTTAAATCTGGTCCTCTGGACATTCAAAAAAAAACCCCAAAAAACAAAGCAAATCAACAAAAAAATGTAGAAACGTTTCGTCTCTCATCCGAGAGACTTCCTCAGTCTGAGGAGCTGTTTTCAGCTCAGTCTCTTAAATAGGTTCATCCCAAAGATCCAGTCCCCCGGCACAAACAGAGTAATGCTGTGTATGCTGTTCAGTGTCAGGAGGGTGATCAGTCTTACATCGGGGAAACAAAACAGCCACTGGCCAAAAGGATGGACCAGCACAGAAGATCAACATCCTCAGGCCAGGACTCTGAGGTCTACACTCATCTCCAGGCCAGCGGTCACTCTTTCAGGGATGAAGATGTTCACATCCTGGACAGAGAGGAACGATGGTTTGAGAGAGGAGTAAAGGAGGCCATCTTTGTGAAAAGAAATCATCCATCATTAAACAGGGGTGGAGCCTCCGGGTTCAACTGTTCCCCTCTTACAATGCTGTGATTGCTAGTATCACTCAGCCCTCTGTGAGTAGTAAACAGCCATCAGTGTGCTAATGATCCATTGTTAGGCTGATGGTCCTTCTTGACCATGTGAGCAGCTGGTTTTGGTTGTCAGCAGCAAACTGGTTGATCCACTCTGAGAAGGTGCTATTTAAGAGACTGAGCTGAATACAGCACCTCAGACTGAGGAAGTCTCTCGGATGAGAGACGAAACGTTTCTACATTTTTTTGTTGATTTGCTTTTTTTTTTTTTTCTTTAAATGTCCAGAGGACCAGATTTAACTTTTTTAGACACAATGGAGTTCTTTCTGACTCTGTTCTTCTCCATCAGCATCCTCAAAGCAAAGATGGCATCTGTGGTGTTCTTTCTTGGCATGAAACCATACTGCTGCTCACAGACAGTCACCTCTCGTCTACATCTTGCTCCCACAACTCTCTCCCAGATCTTCACTGTGTGATTCATTAAGTTAATTCCCCTGTAGTTGCTACAACTCTGTTCATCACCCTTGTTCTTCAAAATGGACACCAGCACACTTCTTCTCCATTCCTCAGGCATTTTCTCACTCTCAAAAATTCTATTGAATATTTGAGTCAAAAGACTCACATGTCATCTTTCCACTGGTATTTCATCAAATCAAACTTCTTTCCTCTTTCTCATACTCTTCAAAACATTCAAAAAGTATTTCTAACTAATCTAACTAATTTACCACTTCCAGGTTCTATGACCTCTATTCCTCCTTTCCTTTCATTCTTTTCATTCATTAGCTCCTTAAAGTACTCCTATCTTCCCATCACACTATTTTTGCTTGTTAGAACAGTACCATGTTTATCTTTAACAGCCTAACATGGTGCACATCATTTCAGCCTGATCCCTCTGTCTTGCCAGCCAATACAAGTCCTTCAATCACTCCTTAGTGTCAGAGTCAGAGTCAGAGTTTCTTTATTGTCATTCGCACCTCATGTGGTACATGTGGTGGAGCGAAATTATGTACACAAGGTCCCAGTTACATCCAACAATAAAATGTATAAGAAAAACAGTAATAACATCTAAGATATGAACTAAGAAAAACATCAACTAAATATACACTAAGCACTCATAACATAAAACATTGAACATCAGCACAAACATGAACATGAGTCTGTGAGCAGATGTGCACGCATGAACACATCAACATTGAAACAGATCAGCAGCAACATGAAACAGATCAGCAGCAACATGAAACAGATCAGCAGCAACATGATATGGTTTTTCACAGTGATTATTCTAGTTAGAGATTCATGAGTCTAACAGCCTCAGGGTAGAAGCTGTTCCTCAGTCTAGTGGTTCTACACTTAATGCTCCTTAACCTCCTGCCTGAGGGGAGTGGGGCAAAAAGTGTGTGTGCTGGGTGAGTGGGGTCCTTCATGATGCAGGTGGCCCTCTTCCTGCATCTGGAGGTGTAGATGTCTGTGATGGTGGGGAGACTGATTCCAACAGATTTCTGTGCAGCCTTCACCACTCTCTGCAAAGCTTTTCTTTCTGCAGCTGTGCAGCCTCCATGCCACACGTTGATGCTGGAGCACAGGATGCTCTCCACTGCACACCTGTAGAAGGAGGTGAGGACTGAGCTTCCCAGACCAGCTCGCCTCAGCCGTCTGAGGAAGTAGAGTCTCTGATGAACTTTCTTGATCAGGCTGGTGGTGTTGTTGCTCCAGCTGAGGTTGTCATTCATGTGTACACCCAAGTACTTGTAGCTGGAGACCACTTCCACCGCAGATCCTCTTATGTTCAGGGGGGTGTAGGTGTTTTTGTTCCTTCTGAAGTCCACAATCATCTCCTTTGTCTTCTTCACATTGATGTGAAGGTTATTCTCTCTGCACCAGCTCTCCAGGTGTTCCACCTCTTGCCTGTAGCTGGACTCATCATTGTTTGTGATGCATCCCACCACCGCTGTATCATCTGCAAACTTTACAATGTGACAGCCTGGATGGGTAGCTGCACAATCATATGTGAGCAGAGTAAACAGAAGGGGGCTCAACACACATCCCTGAGGAGAGCCAGTGCTGAGGGTTATGGTGGAGGAGGAGAGGTTGTGGATCTTCACTAACTGTGGTCTGTTTGTTAAAAAGTCTAGTACCCAGTTGCAGATGGAGGGGCTTAGTCCTAGTGTGGATAGTTTGTCCATCAGGGTTTGGGGGATCATGGTGTTGAAGGCGGATGTGAAGTCCGCAAAGAGCATACGGACGTGAGAGTTTTTCTGCTCCAGGTGGTTGAGCGCAGTGTAGACCACAGATGAGATTGCATCCTCTGTTGATCGGTTCTCACAGTATGCATACTGATGAGGGTCCTCGTTGATGTTGATGGTTGTTTTGATGTGAGTCATGACCAGTTTTTCAAAGCATTTAGCGACTATCGGGGTGAGGGCCACTGGCCGATAGTCATTCAGACCAGTCACTGTAGAGCTTTTTGGGACTGGGATGATGGTGGCAGTCTTCAGGCAGGTGGGAACTGTCTCCAGGGTAAGTGAGGTGTTAAAGATGTCTGCCAGCACCTCACAGAGCTGATCAGCACATTCCTTCAACACTTTTTCAGGGATGTTGTCTGGGCCAGTTGCTTTGTGCGGATTAATCCTCCTGAAGGTACTCCTTACTTCTGCTGAGGTCACGCTGAGATGCTCTTCATCCGGTGGCGAGGTGAGTCTGGTGCTGGGTGGTCTGTTCGGGTCTTCAAAGCGTGCATAGAACTTGTTGAGGGCATCAGGCAGAGATGGGTCTTTGGGCATTGTTCACTCCTTCCTTTATAATCTGTTATGCACTTAATGCCCCTCCACATGCTCCGAGGGTCTTGTGAGATGAATTGACCCTCGATCCTCTTTGCATATGTGGCCTTGGCCCTCTTAATACCAGCAACCAGCTCTTTTCTAGTGTCAAGTCTCTTTTAGAACTCTTCATACTAACAAAGTCCATGCTCAATAATGCAGGTATTCAATCCAACATTTTTCAGTCAGGTCATCTGGACAATTTCTTTTTTTTCGTGCTGAAACATTTCACCTTCCATCCAGAAGGCTTCATCAGTCAAAGAAACACACAACACAAAACTGATTCTTCCCCCAACAGCTTACTCCAAAGTGGAACAAACCAGTTATGTTGGTGCTAAGATGGTCTCTTTGGCACACCTCCTCCTCTGATGCTGGCCCTCTTCCTCGTCGACAGTCAAGTCAAACTAGTTAAAAACCAACAAAGTCCATGCTCAATAATCCAGGTATACAATACAACATTTTTCAGTCAGGTCGTCTGGACAGTTTCTTTTTTTTGTGCTGAAACGTTTCACCTTCCATCCGGTAGGCTTCAGCAGTCAATGAATGGTGAAACATTTCAGCACAAAAAAAAACCTGTCCAGACGACCTGACTGAAAATAGTTGAACTCCTCATACTCATTCTGTTTTGTCTTAGCTATCTCTCTCTCTCATCTCCTTATATTCTTGTCTCCTCTCTTCAGTCCTCTCACTGTCTTATTTCTTCTTGGCTAATCTCTTTTTTTGAATAACTTCCTGCACTTCACTATTCCATCACCAGGTTTCCTGATCATCCATTCTCTGTCCAGATGACACACCAAGTACCTTCCTACCTGTCTCTCTAATTACTGTTGCTGTAGTAGTCCAGTCATTTGGAAGCTCTTTCTTACCATCCAGAGCCTTTAACAGCTCCTCTCTGAATTTCTCACAACATTCTTCCTTCTTCAGCTTCTACAATTTGGTCTTCTTCTCTGATTTTACTCTTTTTCTCTTCTTCACAACAACAGTCATTCTACACACAACCATCCGATGCTGTCTGGCCACGCTCTCCCCTGCCACAACCTTACAGTCCCCAATCTCCCTCAGATTTCCTCTTCTACACAGAATGTAGTTGACCTGCATACTCCTTCCTCCACTCTTATAGGTCACTCTATGCTCCTCCCTCTTTTGGAAATAGGTGTTGACTACAGCCATTTCCATTCTCTTGGCAAAATCCACCACCATCTGTCCTTCCTGGTTTCTTTCCTTGACACCAAACTGAATAAAGAATTCAATAAAATGTTGTTTTTCTGAGTATTTAACTTGCGATATAAAGTGTTTAAAATGTTGTTTCTAACCTGTGATATAAAGTGTTTTTTGGTAAGGGCAAAATTAGTCAGAAAACCAAAGGGTGGAATGAGTTGAGAGTTTAATTAAAGGTTGTTTTTCTGACTGTTTAATCTGTGATATTGTGATATAAAGTGTTTTTTTTTGCTTTGTGCATGTTGTTGTGAGTTACCCAGAGGCCTGAGGAGGAGGCCCGGCCCGCCTCCTCCTGCACGCTATCTGGAGGTTCTCTCACCCTAGCTTCTCACGCTCCCTCGTTATCTAGATGTTTTTAAGCTTCTCACGCTCTCACGACATCTCAAGGGTTTTTCACAGACTCTAAAATCCAGGCGGGCATGTTGTCTTTACGGGGAGATATTCCCATGTGATGTAGAGAGTATAAAAGTGTAACACTCAGAAAAAGAGTTGAAGTCTGCTGTGGATTTTGGATCCGATGCCCAGCATAATTGATGTTACCTTTCTACTCGGACTGAAAACGGCTTCCTCGGTCTGGTGTCACGGTGAGGGTTTTTTACATCAATGCTTGATTTGTACTGAATGTACGTTGCTTTGCTGTATCTGTGGCGGTTTAATAAATGACACTTATTATTCTAGCAGAAAACAGCCTGAGAGTTTTCATTCATTGCTCCGACCTTTCCCTGAACCTGTATCTATCTTGTTAAAGATAATTTCATAGAACACAAACCTACCCATCACTTCCTCATCCTCTGTTTCCTTCACCAACATGTCTATTCAAGTCTGCTCTGATCACCACTCTCTCCTCCCTGGGAATACTCTATCACTTCATCCAGATCCTTCCAAAATGCATCTTTCTCCTCCACATCACATCCAACCTGTGGAGCATAACCACTTAGCATCAGACCTTCTACTTCTACCTTCAGCCACATCACCTTATTTGACACTCCATTTCTTGCAAACTCGACCTTTAGGACCACTCTAACTACATTTACCTTCCTATCCAAACCATGTTTTATCAAATGTTACAAGCATTTCTGCCTTTCAACATGATCACTTGGACACACAAAACATGTACTTTCCCTCTCAGCATCATGTCAGCCAGCTCTCTACATTTGCCTCTCATTGTCCCTATGTATAAAGTTGCCACCCTCGGTCCTACATTCTTGACTCTCCTCTTCTCCTGGCACATTATTTTCTTCATGGTCCTCCACCAACATTAGCACAATTTCCACTGGCAACCTATTTGTCAACAGCACTGGTGGCAGTCCATAACCTGGGCCTTGACCAGTTGGTGTTGCTTGGAAAAATGTGTATGTTCTTTTGGCATAATTGTTTTGCATCAGATGCCCTTCATAAAGCCCTCACCATTGACCCATGCTTGGGACTGGTATGAGATACACTGGCTTGTACTTTCTAGTGATGAGTTTGTGCTCTTTATTAATTATAACTTCAACATTATGTATCATACCTTTCTTGCGTGCTATATCTTCAAGATCCAGATTCCGACTCACTGTCACCACTTTGATTAGAAGTCGGTTGCCACCCTGACGAATCATGTTGACCACCTGTCTGTGGCCCACCTTCACCACATTCTCCTGGTTTACCTGCAGCAAACACACATAATGTTATAATCCCTAATGGGTATCACATCTTTCAGTAGGTCAGAGGAATTCTCATCATAATTTTTAAATGTCTTTGGAATATTCTTATGACACGCAGCTTTTGCATTTTGATTTATGTATGTGTGGCAATGCATAAACACTGAAGCACTCTTATTGAGTAAATGCTAAGGTAGAGTTTCTACAGATTATTAAGCTCCTGCTACTTTTTAACGTTTTTTTCTTACTACTTTGACATATTTGGTGTTATTTTAAACATTAATATACAATAATCAACTCCATTTGGAATAGTCAGCCACAATGTTTATTCTTTTTGTAATGTCTATACTTTTCTAAATATTTTAATATTTAAAATACAAATATCTGTAGAAATACACTGATATAGTTTCAATTCATTAAAAACATTTGTTCTCTTTGAAATCTAATTCAGTATATGTTTTTATTTTTAGTCTTCTTGTGCTTCTTTTAGTTACTAGTCTGCCAATTTGCTCCATTTAGTGTTTAGCTATCATTTTCTTTTTATTTATTTATTTTACACATATCATGTGTATTGCCTTGCCATATTTATATGTTCCCATACAATTGATCTCTGCTTTTAACCCATCACATGTGAGGCACACCCAAGTTGAGCAGTGGGCAGCTATTTAGCAGCCCAGTTACTGTAGGTAGGTGTTTTGCTCACCAAAAAATATGGACAAGGTGAGGAATCGAATGTACGAGTTTCTGATTCCAAGTTGGCTGTCCTACCACTCCACAGCCTCTAAGGTTTTAGCAACAATTCTGCTCCTTTTATCTTTTAGTTAATGTTTTATTCCGTTCAGTGCCCATCATTCACAATGCATTTTTAGTAATATTAGAAAATGCAATGTTGTAGTTAAATTTTACATTTCACATTTCTTTAGTTTCAGTCACATTTACAGTTTTGTTTATCCACTGGCAGCTTTGAAAGAAGATAAAAAAAGATACATCAGTACATACAGCCAAGTCCATAAAAAATAACCTGTATAAGTAGAGTTCTGTACACATTTCTATCCAATCAAGAAACTCAAAGCTCTTTACAACACAATCTGTGTCCTCATTTACCTTTACCCACATATTCATACAGCACTCTACTACACACATTCATACTGTCAGGATTTAAGCAGGCAAGGGTGAACCCAATGGTGTAGACAAGTACTCAGGAGATACAAAAATATAGATTTAATAAGTATAAATCAAAATGGCTGACGTGGCAGCAACTCACTCTTAGGAGATACAACAGGACAGGGTAGACCAAATGATGACGCGACAAAGGACAAGACTCACAGACAGGTTTAAATACACAGACAAGACAGGACGTGATTACAAAGAGCTGGGAACAGGAGGTGGAATCAATGAAGAATAATGAGACAAGGGTGCATAGACAGGGAAGGCCCACAAGATGGCACCATCCCTACAATACCCCCCCCCCCCCCAAGGATGCCCCTTGGCATCCCCAAAAAACCCTCCCCCCAAAAGACTTGGGTGGGTGGAGGGAGGAACTGCAAGGATGGCGGGCCCAAGACAAAACTTGACAAAAACACACAGACAAAAACAAAACCAGGGAACTAGACACAAACAGGGGAACACAAATGTTTGGGCAGTCAATGGTACGGCGGGCGGCCAGGAGGCTGTCCATCAGGCCGGAACAGGTCAGGCGGACGACCGGGAGGTCGACCATTAGACCAGAACGGGTCAGGCGGGCGTCGGGATGCCGACCATCAGGCCAGAACAGATCGGACGGGCGGCCAGGAGGCCGCTCAGGCAGGATCACATCAGATGGGTGGCAGGGAGACCGTTCATCAGGCTGGGGCCATTCAGGCAGGTGGCCGAGAGGTCGTCCGATGGGCCATTCTTCAGGCAGGAACAGGACAGGAAGAGCAGGAGCGATGAACTCAGCGAGCGAACCAGGAGCGAGGGCCTCAGTGGGCGAACCAGGAGCGAGGAACTCAGCAGGCGGGTCAGCGGTGAGAAGCTCAGCAGCTGGGTCAGCGGCGGGGAGCTCAGCAGGCAGGTCAGCGGCGAGAAGCTCAGCAGATGGGTCAGCGGCGGGGAGCTCAGCAGGCAGGTCAGCGGCGAGAAGCTCAGCAGGCAGGTCAGCGGCAAGGAGCTCAGCATGGTCTTCTGCGGCTGGACCATCTGGAGCGAGATCTTCTGCGGCCAGATCTTTGACGGCAGGAACAGACGTGGACAGGAGGTCAGCGGGAGCAGAGTCTTCTGCGGCTGGACCATCTGAGGCGAGATCTTCTGAGGCCGGATCTTTGACGGCAGGAACAGGAGCAGACAAGGACGGTGCAGGACCCTCTGGAGGTGGCGTGGGTCCTACAGCAGTTTAGTTTCTGTGATGAGTGTGGGCTCAGGGCTGGCTGCAGACTCAGGGCTGGCTGCACACTCAGGGCTGGCTGCACACTCAGGGATGGCTGCGCACTCAGGGCTGGCTGTGCACTCAGGGCTGGCTGCAGGCTCTGGGACCGAGTCTCTGGAACCCCTCTTTTGATGACCTCTCTGACGTGGGTGGCGACATGGTTCAGATCCAGGACCGGGCTGAGAAAGAGGAGCTGAGCATGAAAGTGGTGATAAAGTTGTTGGTGTGTTCAGGTCTGTGGGTTCTGAACGGGCTGGATTCTTGCACTGCGTATGTAATGCAGAGGCTGCAGGAGATGGGGAAACTATGGGGGCTGTGGTAGGCCTGCAGGCGACCACAGGGGCTGCAGCTGTGAGGATCTCAGGTATCAAGATCAGGTAGTCTGAGACTGGATCAGAAACAGAGGAGTGATGCTTTGGAGGAGAACTAGGATTGGCAGCGCCTGATCTAACGATTGGCTCCAACCAACGTTTTTCCTCCAGTAGCTCGTCTAGGAAATTCTCCATACCGGGGACATCAAACAATTCAGGAAAGCAAATGCATTCTTCCAACATGTTTTTTGTGGCCGCCCACCTCTCCCACCGATTGCAGGAGGTGCCTGACTCCACAAATCTCGGGCTGGTGCCACAGAGCTGATTAAAGTCTTCATCAGACAATCTGGACAAAAAATACTTGTCTACTGGGTTCTTTGTTGGTTGCGTCATACTGTCAGGATTTAAGCAGGCAAGGGTGAGCCCAATGGTGTAGACAAGCAGCCAGGAGCCAGGAGATACAAAAATATAGATATTTAATAAATACAAATCAAAATGGCTAATGTGGCAGCAACTCACTCTTAGGAGATACAACTGGAACACACGACAGGACAGGGTAGATCCAACGATGATGCGACAAAGGACAAGACACAGACAGGCTTAAATACACAGACAAGACAGGACATGATTACAAACAGCTGGGAACAGGAGGTGGAATCAATGAAGAATAATGAGACAAGGGTGCATAGACAGGGAAGGCCAAACTGCACAACTGTACACATTCATACAGCACTCTACTACACACATTCATACAGCACTCTACTACACACATTCATACAGCACTCTACTACACACATATTCATACAAACAGTCTACTACAAACACATTCATAAAGCACTCTACTACACACATTCATACAGCATTCCAATACACACATTCATACAGCACTCAACTAAACACATTCATACAGCACTCTACTACACACACATTCATACAGCACTCTCCTACACACATTCATACATCACTTACAACACATATATTCATACATGAGTCTACTACACACACATTCATACAACACTCTACTACACACACATTCATAAAGCACTCTAATACACACACTTTAAACAGCACTCTACTACAAACACATTCATACAGCACTCTACTATACACACATTCATACAGTACTCTACTACACACACATACATACCGTACTCTACTACACACACATTCAAACAGCACTCTACTACACACACACACACACACACACACACACAAACAGCACTCTACTACAAAACACACTCATACATGACTCTACTATACACACATTCATAAAGCACTCTACTACACAAACATTTAAACAGCACTCTACTACACCCACATTCAAACTGCACTCTACTACTCACACATTCATACATGACTCTACTACACAGACACTCAAACAGCACTCTACTACACAAACATTCCTATAGCACTCTACTCCACACACATTCATACCACACCCTACTACACACACATTCATACCACAC